CCCCGCGGTGAGTGCTGCCGGGTACCGGCCCCTTCTCCGAGGAAAGGGGAGTCCCCCGAGCCGGACCCCGGCACTGTCGGCACCTGGGGCCGGGCGATGAGCAACGTCCTTGCTGGCATCGCCAGGCCCCTGTTGCACTTCAGTGGCCACGGGCGCATCAGGGCCCTGTCTCCCGTTCCGGCTCATCCCCGGCACACGCAGCAAGAGGGAGTAGTGATGGGGTTTTTTCCCTTCTCCCAGCCGAGGATGACAAGCTGCTGTCCGAGCCTCTCAGCCACCCCGACTTCTTCAACGTGAAGGAGCTCTTCTCCCTGAAAGATCTCTTTGATGCCCGGGTGCACTTGGGGCACAAAAAGGGATGTCGGCATAGGTGAGTGACCCCATTTTGTCATCCAACACTTGTTGACATTAGGAGTGTTTCCCTTGACCACATCAGCCTTTGGGGGCTGCACTAGATTGATCTGGGTCTGGAACTGCCCACACAGACCCACGTTTCCACCTGGGCACAGTCACTGCCCTGCAAAACTGCGGAGACCCCCGGTCAGCGCGGGCACCGAGTGGGGTGTCAGACCTGCACCCCCCTGAGCCCGGCTGGAACAGGCGCTGCGCACAAGGGTTCTCTGCAGAGAGCACCTCTGGTACCATCTGGGAGTTGGGGTGTGAGAAGGTTTCTGTGGGGCCACGCCGCGTTCAGAAACACTGCTTGATGCCTGTAGCGCCCTGTCCCCGCGTCCCCTTGTGTCGCCCTCCCTCTGTCCCTGCAGGTTCATGGAGCCTTACATCTTTGGCTGCCGCCTGGATCAGGACATCATCGACTTGGATCAGACGATGCAGCACCTCCAGCTGGCCCTCAACTTCACCGCCCACATCGCCTACCGCAAGGGCATCATCCTCTTCGTCAGCCGCAAACGCCAGTTCTGCCACCTGGTTGAGAGCACGGCACGGGAGTGTGGGGAGTACGCCCACACCCGCTACTGGCAGGGCGGCCTGCTCACCAACGCCCACGTCCAGTTCGGGCCCGGCGTCCGCCTGCCCGACCTCCTCATCTTCCTCAGCAGCCTCAACAACATCTTTGAGCCCCACGTGGCCATCCGGGATGCTGCCAAGATGAACATCCCCACGGTGGGGGTGGTGGACACGAACTGCAACCCCTGCTTGATCACCTACCCCATCCCTGGCAACGACGACAGCCCCACCGCCATGGAGCTCTACTGCAAGCTCTTCAGGATGACCATTATCCGCGCCAAGGACAAGAGGCGGCAGAGTGAGGTCTTCAACGAGCTGCGGAGCAAAGCGGAGGGCGATTAGAGCCCTAGGGACAGGCTCGGCCATGCCCAGCAGCTTGGTGATGGGCATCCTGCTCCGCTCCCGCGGGCGCTGCAGGTCTGACCCTGCACCCAGAGCACCAGCTTTCGGCAGAGCTGCGCTGGTTGCGGAAGGGAACCCGGGCGGGGCAGGGAGCCCGGGGTGGGTCTCTAGCGCAAAAAAAAAAAAAAAAAATTGTCCGGAGCGATGCAAGGGGAGACGGAGCCGGGCCAGACCCAGCTCCCGTCCTTGCGTTTGTCCCTGTTGCAAGGAGGTGCTTCTGTCCTGTGGCCTTGCTGTTCCTGAGCTTGTGATCTCACCTGAAACCACTTGTATCTGGCTCATTCCCTGACAGGACAAATAAAGGGCCCTGCGATCCTTTTTCTTTCTTTCCATGTGAAATGGGAAGGTAGGGGGGAGTCTGGCAAACATTCATGGTCACGGGATGGGGGGTGAAGGGTGTTCCCGGCCTGGGGACCTGCAGGCTGTTGCAGGCTGGGAGCAGGAGGGGTGCGAGTCTGGCCGGTGCATCGCAGGGTTGGAGGGTCCCCGCTTTGCCCCAGGGTCCCCGCTTTGCCCCAGGGTCCAACCTCTGCCACCGCCATGAGGAGGGGGGGGGG